GATGTGCTAAGTGAAAACAACGATCCAGCTGATCACTGCAATGGGAAGTACAGAGCCAACCCAGAATACATGGCAATCCCCAGCTCAGAGAACTCAGCCTTGCTTGCAACTACAGCATGTTGTGATATTCTTGCTTAAGATAATCCACAGTTCCTATTAAGGTTTTACATAAATATCTCTTTAATTCCCCAAACAAAAACAGAACTACAAGGTAGACATCACTTTCTTTTCACAGAGACTTAGAGAAGAAGAAAAAAAAAAAAAAGGCGCTTGGGGACCTTTTCAGGTGACTAGATGGGAGCCATACCCAGGTATGACTGCAGATCAGGTGCATTTCTTTTCTTTTGGGGCTGGTTGGTGGCTTTCCTCCAGCACAGCCCTGGACACAAGAAAAAAGAAATTAGGTGGGATGCACAACAGCAAGCCACTGGCAATGTTCCTTCTTTTTTTTTTAAGAGTTATTTATTTATGCATATAAGAACTGGGGTATAAGCCAGAGGTGCTGGGGTGAGAGGGTTCACCAGAGACAGTGGGGAGCAGAACAGGCAGACTGACTGAAATACACTGCTGAGGGGAGCAGTGGGCGAGGCAAGAGAGGTCTACTGTGCCATGTGGGTTGTTCCCTGGACGGCCTCAAACTTGTGGGCCTAGAACTCATGAGGCAGTGGCTGGGATAGCTTGATAGTGCTGTCTTTAACCCCTGCACCACCAGGGAGGCCCACTGTGTCCCTTCTTGTGAGAAATTCATGGACGCGCCAATCCTTATGGAAGCTGAAATGTACTGATGTGATTATATTTTTTTCTTTCTGGCCAAGGAGTATGTGATGGGGGAGCAAACAGACATCAAGGCAGGGACCAGAGTTCAGAGGGAACTCCAGGGAAGGGACACTCACGAGAGGCAGGTCTATAGGGGCAGCCCAGAGCACAGGAAGATACCAGAACAGGGACGGACACAGGGAATTTAAAGAAGCTCTTGGAAATGTAGGCGAGAGGGGTCACTTTCTGGAAGATATACTATGTTCTCCTCAAAATCACCTTGCCAGTTGGGTTCAGTAACCCCCTTTGATAGGTGAGGATTCTGAGACTCAGAGGGGCCAGAAAACCTGAGAAGCCCCCCAGAGAGTTAGAGCAGAGCGAGGGCCCAACTGAACCCACCCCCTTTCCATCTGAGCCTGTGCTTCCTACTGCTATCTTACTCGTTCATAGAAAAGCCACCTCACCAACAGATGGACCTTGGGTTCTGGGGAAAGCAGGTGGAGGACACTCAGGCCATTCATGTAGCCCAGATATTTTCCCAGACTAATCTTAGTACATGCACTTAACAACTATTCTAGAGTCAGAAAAACAGAATTCCTGATAAAACAAAGTACCAGGAATTTTCAGAAATTCCTTCTTCAGGGCACAGTGGCCCATGGATTTATTAAGTGGAAGTAGCTGTGCGAGGCTGCCTCCACACTCCAGGCTGTGTGCTAGCTTCTGGCAACATGAGGAAATGAGTAAGAGGGAAGCAGAATTCCGGCACTGCATGGCGAGTGCTGTTAATAAAGTAATGGTAGGATGTAGGGGCACAGAAGTCAGGATGATGTCTGGAGCAGAAATTCAGAAAGTGTCCCAAGAATACAAAGCTGGAAGCTAAGCTGAGGTATCAGGGGAAGATGCAGAATGGGCAGGTGTCAGATGACATGAGTAGCACTTGAAAGTACTTGCTTATGTACTCCCATGGCTTGCTCGAGATGTATAAATAAAGAAGTGCTGAGACCCTCGGCAGGATGATACTTGCACCCTTATCAAGTGTCTGTGTCTCCCTATTCCCCCATCCCTTTTCCCCTGTGTCGCCGATGCCTTCCCATCCTTCAGGAACCCCTGACACCCAGTTTGTCGGAGCTGGCCTCCGGCAGGCAGGTGGCTGTGACTCTAGGAAGGTGGACTTCAGTCAAGCTGGAGTAGGAGGTGGCACAGGCTGAGGCTAGGACGCAAGCGCACTGGATGCCAGGCTAAGGAGCTTGGCCTTTTTTTTTTAGCTATTAAACATGGGGATGGTGTGGACAGACTGGTTAATACAGTCACAAAAACCAAAGCCGCAAATGGAGCATGTTTCCTCACGCATCTAAACCTGTTAGGGGAGAGTGAGGCAATTTAGGCACAAATTGAATTGTAGGGAGAGGTGTCATGGGGCTGGACCAAATTGAAACACGGAGAGCAGGCCAGTGTCTCAGCGACATGGCGGCTTGATTAAATGCACAGGCCTCAGGGAGAAAAACTACTTTTTCCCTGAGCTGCATGTTCTATGCAGTGTTTCTGGACTCGGGGTTTTGAAAAGGGGCCTGTATTTGGATATGTTTTTTCATTAAAACTTGCATGGGGTTTCAAAAGCAGTATTTAGGTGGAATGGTTGGTTTTAAGTTGCTGGCAGAATGAGTTAGAGAAGTGGTCACTGTTGATGCAAAGAGGGGGCTGGGGTTGGGGGCAGGGGAGGGTAAGAATGAACCAGACAGACTCCCAACTGGAAACTACAGGTTTGGAAGGGTCATCAGGAGCTCCTGTTCATATTCCACACATGAATGAAATCATCACTCACGTGGAACATAAAGAAACAAAGCAAACAGACAACTCCAAACAAAAACAATCCCTTGGATTTGGACAACGGGACTGAGGTTACTGGAGCGGGAGAGGGTGGGACAGGGGAGCAAAGGGTGGAGGGGTCCAGTTTTCGATGGAGGGCTATCAGCACATTGGTGCTGGGCTTGGTATGTTAACATAAATTTGAAGTCTGCATTCCTAAAACATATACAGTTCTATAAACCAGTATTACTGCAACAAAAAGAAAGACTGCTTTGTTTGCTAACAAGGTAATAATATTTTTTAAATCTGCAACAAAACAACCCCCAGATGCCCGTCTTTCTAATAAAAAAAATGTAATAGGGGCCTCCCTGGTGGTGCAGTTTTTAAAGTCTCACTGTTATCAAGCTATTACCAGTTACTGTGGCATGAGTTCGATCCCTGGCCCGGGAGCAACCCACATGGCACAGCAGACCTCTCCCATCTTTCCCTCTGCTCCCCTCAGCAGTGTATCTCAGTAGATCTGCCTATTCTGCTCCCCACTCTGTCTCTGGTGAATCCTCTCACCCCTCCCTGCACCTATGGCCTACAATCCAGTTCTTGCATGCATTAACCTTTTTTTAAAAAAAAGATTTATGTATTTATTTATACAAGCACTGGGTACAGTCAGACACGCGAGAGGGTGAGAGAATTCACCAGAGCCAGAGTGGGGAGCAGAACAGGCAGAAGGATCGAAGCACACTGCTGAGGGGAGCAGCGGGCGGCAGGAGAGGTCTGCGCACCATGTGGGACCCTCGCCAGTGGCTGGGGATTGAACTGGCCCTGCAGAGGCTGTGGGCAGGCAGCTTCGCAGCCCAGTGCTCAACTGCTGCGCCACCAGGGGGGGCCCTAAATAAATCTTAAAAAAAATGTAACTTATGGAATATAGAAGAACCAGAGTCAGAAAATTGTAAAAACAATCTTTGAAGCTGACCATAGACCTGAGGCTTTCAGAGGGGGAGGGAGAAGAGGAGGTGAAAAATGGGGGCAGCACATTAGACTACTGTGATGGACTAGGGGTGCTTTGGTGGTGGGAGAGCTACAGTGACTACACCCAAGGGCAGAGATTCTATATTGTCAAGACACTAGAAAGGATGTAAAATGATAATTCAGTAAAAATGAAAGTAGTAATTTAAAAACTTATTTTAAAAAGAAGAAAGAAGCCCTCTGGTCCCTAGAATTCCCCCAATAGGCTTTCTGTGAGATGCTCTCCCAGCAGCTCCAGTGGCGGTGAGCTCACACTCAGGGGCGGCTATCCCACCCTGGAGCAGCACTGTCCTTCAGGAGGGTCACCCTGAGCCCGAGCTGGACCTTTGTTGCAGTCCCCCAGCTGGTCTCATGTCCCCAAACTGGCTAACACAGACCACCTCATCCCTCTTCCCTACAGAAGCCTCTCCAACTCCCAACTCCACATTTACATATTCTTTTCCCCAGGCTTTATATTCCAAGTCCTTTAGCTGCTCCTCCAAGGATGGGGTTTCTAATTCCTTTCATACTCTTGAAATATGCAGCTGAAGCACTGCTTGTGACAGGGTGAGGCCCCCAAACTGATAACAATGTCCCAGAGAAGGCCATTTAGCAGCTCCTTACAGTGTGAGGGTCAGAGCTAGCATTCTTGAGGGTGCATATGACTTCAAAGCCTGTGCACTTTCTGCACACTGTTGAGTTGAATGAGGTCAATGGTGACTAAATACCTTAGTTCTTTTCACCCTGCTTGGAAGACATGGAAGACTTCATTGGCTCCCTTATGCGGCCTGAATCATGCATAGCAGTTACCTTCTGAGTGGCAATGGAAGGTTCTAACATGGATCTGGGCCTCACAAGGGTGCAGAGGAGTGCTACAGAGCTGCAGATTTTTCTCTCTGCTGAGATTTCTAGGAGTTCCACTAGCAGATGGGGTCTAAGCACAGTGGTTTGCTTCTCCACCAACTTGTACGTGCCCTTCTCTACCTGCTCTGCCCACTGGCTGATCCCTTACATGCTCCATGGCCTTTGGCTTCACCGTCTACTGTTTCCCTAAGGCTTCTCAATCACTTTCAAATTAGAAGGCAACTCTCTCATCAGAACCAAAAAAACTGCCTTCTACTTGACCAAGTATCATAAAGTCTTTGGCTGTAGACACTTCTCATGGAGCACCTGAAATCCTGAGGTCCTAGGACACAGTGGCTTGCATGATTCAACTCACTCCCACATGGCGGCTGGACATTTTTGGAGACTGGCATCTTTTCCTTGGCACCAACATCTCCCCTGATGCCACCCTCACCCTGACCCACGGAGCAGTCCCCAGTAAAGCCACATGGATTGTGACACTTCTCCAGAAGAATTCCCTCCTTGGGTGTAGAAACAGTCTTAGTATGAATCCAGGGCACAGGAACCTGGCAGGACAGAGGAGGTATACTTACACTTACAGGTTGACTTTTTGGCACATCATAAACACCTTCTTTCTTTTGGCTGGTGGGAACCTATGAAAAAAATGGAAGTCAACACAGTCAAAACACATCAATAGTCCACTTTCAAAGAACTAAGCAAGCAGACCTCAACACCTAGCTGGCAAAGTGCGTGTGAGGATGGCCCTCATGATCCAAGGGGTGGACTGCATGGTGCTACTGGAATTGTGAAAGTAGCAGCCTATGTGCCTTCCTTTAGGAAAACTGGACGAGGAGAGGGGGGCCTGAATCCCTTCATACATGTTTGCAGGTGTTTCTGGGTGTTAATCTTGGAATAGGAAGCCAAGAGACCTCAGATATCCTGTGCGGAAAAATAATCCTCATTTCTCCTGAGGCAGATATGAGGCCGAGGAGGTACTAAATTGCCCAAAGTAATTAAATGCTTTGTAGCTAAACTGAAACTGCTCAGTGCTAAGACCCAAACTATTTAAACTAGACAAATATCAAGATCCTATTATGGAACACACGCCATCTTGATAGTTACTATAGGTTTTTGTTCAAGGAAAGGGCCCATAAATGCCAAAGCAGCATGGGACTAGAACCCAGAAAATCTCAACTATTTTTGACATTTATCTGCAGGGCCTACTCTCCCCTCTCCTCTTTCCTCTTGTTCTCATCCATCTCATCCTGTTGGATCCCAAGTAACCATAATACCCTAAGCCGGGGACTTAGCTCCTCTGAGCTTCACATTACATAATGGACGTTATTGGCTCTGCTTTTCACTCAGATTATTTTGAGGCTCAAATGAGAAAATAACAAAAACTATTAGGCTCTACAATACCATAAAGTGTCAGAATGAGAGCTTCCTCTGCCATACAATCATTTTGTAAATAAATACAGGAACATATTTTACAATAGTAACAACAATGGACACATTGAATATTTTGGGGATGTGCCAAGCAAGGCTTTGCACTGCCACATGTTCTTCCCCAGCAGCTAGCATAGCAGTGCTCCCCACCCCCACACCCCAATCCACCCACCACACTCAAGGATCAGCCTTCAGTGGTTATATAACTGTCTGATAACTTTTCTTTCTCTCCATCAGAATGGAAGTTCCTTAAGGGCAAGCATGGGTCTCCCTGGTGGTGTAGCAGATTGAGCATCGCGCTGCAAAGCTGTCCACAGCCTCTCCCCGGCCGGCCAGTGAGATTCTCACATGGCTAGGCAGACCTCTCCTGTCTCGCCGGCTGCTCCCCTCAGCACTATTACTTCGGTCCTTCTGCCTGTTCTGTTCCCTGCTGTCCCTGGTGAATTCTCTCACCCTCCAAGCCTCTGGCCTGTACCCCAGTGCTTGTATAAATAAATAAATCTTTAAGAAAAAAAAAGCAAGCAGAGTTTCCAAAACCCAACAGGCATTCAGTAAGTGTCTGAATAAGTGAGTAAGCGAACTAAGTAAGTGAACCATAGAATGATGCAGGGGAACAGCCAATAAAAAGTATCTCAGACTTGGGTCAGCAAATGCTACCGTCCTTCTGAGAGAAGGAGAATCTTAGCTCATTCCTTGGTTCCCTTTGTCATCTTCACTCTCCTTAGCTTACTTAAACTCCTTAAAATCACCCTAAGAGCTGGTATTATAGTCTCTACTTTAAATAGTAGAAAGTGAGGCTCAGAGAAGTTAAAAGAATTTAGCTCAAAGTATCAAAGCTAGTAAATGACCAGATTCAAGCCCATTTCTTTCTGGGCTACAAGAAGACACTGCTTCCTATCATCATGAGCTAATTTTAACAGGGTGCATTATTCCAGGCAGGTTTTAAACATTTGTGTTTTACAAACATTCTCATGCAATCCTCATCGCAAGTTTATCGGTGAAGACTACAGTGCCCATGTTGCAGGGGAGAAAATGAGAGCTGAGAAAGTTCTGCATCTCACTCCTGACCCCACGGTTCCCACAGCCATTTGGATGCTTTTTTTTTTTCTCGGACATTACCTTCTCCACTCCTGGAGGTTCAAGCACATTCTTACAGAGAACAGGATTATGAGGAGTACGGAGGTGCAGAAGATGCACTTTCAGCGTTGCTCTTGTAAACCTCAATTTGCAGGTAGCCAGCGAAGAATGCAATTTCTTTGATCCTAATAACTGGACTCCATCTAAAAGGAACCCTCGATGAATGCCAGCAGAGTCCTTGTTAATGAGGACCAATAAATTACCGGTCCTCACTTCTATTTTTATGAGCTCACACTTTCCTGAGCAAAACAAACAGCGTTTCTGTTCCCTGTAATTCACTGCTCACTATGGGCACTTAGTAAGTTGAAGAACAGCTGACGCTCAATTATCCCTGCAAATGGAGGAGAGGCGGTGGGATGGATAAACCCAAACTGTGCATAATTGAAAAAGCTTTTCGGTTTGCCTCTTCCAGGGGTAAGATATCTATCTGCCTGTTTGTCCTTTAAGATTTATCTCAGCCAGGACATCTCAGGAGCCTTACCTGACTCTCCAGGCCTGGCTGGAGACTAACTCTGTACCCTTACAACCTCTATGTTTCATTAAAAAGTAAAAGCCTTTCATTAAAAAGTAAAAGCTGCCAAGAACCTATTATATGTTAGACCTGCACTTTGCCTGGGACAGTGATGGTGGACCAGCTGGATTCGGCCCTTGATTTACCAGTGCTTTCATCTTGCCGGGGAAAACGGAAAAGTAATCAGGCTACTAGAGTGTAAAATATGCGTTATCTTCTATGGAAACTGTCACACCTCAGCTCCTCTGTCCCCACTGTGCTGTAAGCTTGCCGAGGGTAGGGTGGGCATTTTGTAATCCTTTTTTCCCTATCTGTAAATACTAGTCACACAGGAGATGTCGAAGCATCAGACATTGCCGATGCATGTGCTGAGTGCAGAGCACTGGCAGAAGTGCTGACAAAACCAAGACCAGAGAGAGCCTGGAGGCGGCTCTCACATCTGCCTCTCTGGTCCATCCAGTCTAGAGACCATCTCAGTCATAAGATGTTGCAGAGTGAGGACAGTTCTGTATCCACAAGGAGATGGGAGATCTGCTTCCTAATCCAGCTCTGCCTCAGGGTCTGTGCCCTCAGAAAGGATACTTTGTTCTCTGAACCTCAGTTTCCCTATCTGATTGTCCTGTGCATCCAAGGGATTGCTTATAAACTCCCTGAGGCCTGGCAGCATGCTGTGGTCACCATTACATCCCCAGGTGCCTGGCTCCCTATGTAATTACTATTGAATGAATGCATTAATAGATGTGAAGTTACTCTAAAAAACTACACATGAAGCACTGTATATAGGAGACACTTTCAGCTCAGCAACATATTAACAGTGCAGAGAGGCAGTTAAAGTTTGGGTGACGTAGAACTTGAGACATCATTTAAAAATAACAATACTTGACACAATCTTGGGTGATTAAAGATGATTTCGAATGAATGAACTTGGAGAATGGCCTCTTGGAAAGCTGTGATCTCACTTTTGTGTAAGCCTGGTAAGGTACTAAAAAACACTCGATTTAGAATCAGAGGCTCTGGCTGTGGGCCCAGCACTTAAGTTAAAAGGACTTGATTTTCTTAACATTTAAAATGATAGTCATTAGAGTTGTTCTTATTGCACTGTTATTGAGGGTCAAAATGAAGTGAGGTGTAAAAATGCTTTGTACTGTGAGGCTCTGTGTTGTTTTAAAAAGATGACTGATAACTTTTTCTGAGGCAGGGAAAAGGAAAGACAATTATTATTATTATTCCAGTTTAGAAAATGAGACTAGTGATTCTGCAAGAGAGGTTCTCCCTCTCTGTTGAGCTATAAATAGCAAAGCCAAGTGAGTCTATAGCTTTCCACTAGGCTCTCTGACAGGATGAGGTAAACAGTTATGTTCTACTTCTCTTAGCACATCATCCAAAGACAGCCTGCATAGTGTCTGATGTTGATGGCATGAGGAAGGAAGGGGGACTACGCTTTACACAGGCCTTACTATGCACTGAGTGCCATCCTCATCGCCTTACATCTTCCCACCTCTTCCAGAAGCAGATAATATTTTGTCCCCCCCTTCAGACCTCTGGAAATGGACATACAAAAGTTATATGCTTTACCCAAGGTCATGAAATAAAGGATTAGGATTCAGGTGTGCAGACTCTTTCCAGAAAACAGGATAAAATGTGAGACCACTCTAGACCAAGCAGAAGTACAAGAAATAATGCAATGTGTTTAGGAGGAACAGCTGCAAAAACTTGTAGGCCTTAAAAAAAAAAAGAAAAGAAAAGAAAAAAAGGATAGGGTTCCTAATAGCAATTCTGTAAAAACCTAACCTTATCTTTAGACCCAAGAGCTTATCTCTTGTTAAGCAAATTGAAGCCCAGGCAACTGACAATGCTAGAGAGGAAAATGACCAGAGGTCTTTCCAAAAGAGGGTGATAAAATATTCATTCCCTTAAATTGGTACCTTTCTGTTAATGATGGACTGATGGGCAGATCCCGTAGAGGTCAGGACTGAAAATGAGTGTGATTTGTAGATAGTGACTTAAAAAGCAGAAAGAATCTAATTGTGAAACTCAGGATCAGGCAATTCTGAGCTGAAAAGAGCCTTGGGATTGATTTATTTACAGCAGTGGAGGAGCCCTAGGTGTGAGAGGAAATTCTCCCTCTGGCTAGCTCTGTGACCCTAGGCAAGATAGCTTATCTCTGTGAACCTAGCTTTCTAGACTGTCAGGCAGGACTGTAAGCCAGGGCTGTTGTGAGCTAGTAAGATATTGCATATAAACCCCCACTCAGAGCAGGCCTGCAATCAGTGATCAGTAAGTGTTATCAAAATTACACACACACACACACACACACACTCTCTCTCACACTCCTTCCCTAAGAGTTGTGTTACCATGTTAATGCAACTCAGCATACTTTTCTAGAGAACCACAGGCCTATGACCAGACTCTACTGCGAAGAGCGGGAAGGGACCTAGCCCAAAAGATTCTTCATTTGTACTTGCTCATTTTACAGATGAGTCTACTGAGGCCGAAAGAAGGAAAGAAAGTTGACACAGTGGATAATGGCTGAGTGGGTTCTTGTACTAAGATACTAGATTTTGTTGGAAAAAAAAGGAAATAGGCCCAAAATGGAGCCCTGACTTAACATGTAACCTAACTCCCACCTCAGCTTCCCCCAAATGTGGAAACTAACCAAGCAGAAGGTCCCTGGTGCTCACCATTGTGGACATCTGCATGCTAAGATGCCTCTGCCTTCCCCTAATCATGGCTGTGCCTGAAGAAATACTTCTTTATTTTGCTAATAACTCTGTCCTATCATTTTCTTGGCTCTGAAATCCTGCCATTTTGAATAACATATTTCAGTGCCTTTCTTCTTGGTAGATGGGATACTGCCCAACTCATGAATCACTTAATAATGCCAATTAGATCTTTAAAATTAACTTGGCAATAGTTCTATTATTTGACAATCCATACACCATGGATCCAGTGGGTGACCCTGGATAATACTGCTTCTTTGCATTCTTCACATGAACTTGCTTCATTTTCAAACACACATGTGCATCAGGAAGAAGTTATCATCCTAACTTTCTGTGTTTTATCATCAGGGAAACAGTCTTAGAGAAGGCAAGTGCCTTGCCCACTACCACAGAGCCAAGGTGGTGACAGGACTAGAGCCCAGGTCTGCACTCACCTAAAGCAGGTCTTCCCCATATGCAAGACAGTCATCCTGCAGCTCCCCACCGCGCACAATAGAAACTCACTAACCACGTGAATTAAACTAAGTGTGAATTTAGAGTGTACTGAAAAGACTCCTTAGAAACTTCTTACACTGGAAAGCCTAATTTTCTTCTAAAAGGTGCCCTCTTTTCATAGGATGATGGGCTAAGGGTTCCTTTGGCCACATACTCAGACACTGCAAGGCCATACTTTAAAATCTGACACTGAGGACAAACAGACAACTTTTCTGTGTGAAGACAGAAATTTTGTAAGGGATGATGGTTTTCAATCTCAAAGCACAATCTCACAAGTGAATTCAATCCAAATGGATCCAGTGGAGAGAAATATTAATTATTCCACAGGGCTGGTTAAAACTGAGTTGTTGGTAGTGCTAACATTACATTTGATCATTTAGAATAATGTGCATTTGATAGAAATTGAAAATCGGTTTTACTTTTATTACTCAAGTAATGCATGCCCAAGGCAGAGAAACAGGCCACACCACTAAGTGAATCAAGAAAATTAAAATCACTTATTAAATACATTAAATTTTTTCCTTCTTCCAGAATGTTTGTGTTTCAAATTGGGAATAAAATTCTAATTAGTGAAAAACCGGAGGTCGTCATATTTGTTTGATGTGTTGCTGTGTTGTAATTACTCAAAATCTTTGATGGGAAAGCGTGGGAGAAGAGGCGCAGAGTTTTGCCTTCACACATATGCCTGGGTCTGAGCTCAGCTCCCAACAGCTGCACAGCCCTGAGGAAGCTACTCTACTTCTCTGAGTCTCAGTTTCCCCTTGAAAGTGTGATTAAACTACCACTTCACAGCATACTTGTGATAATGAAATGAGTTAAGAAATATGTTTCAAGTTCTTCACATAACCAGTTACAAATACAAATTTACTGTTTTTTGGAAGGGGTCAATGCTTCCACTAGACTATCTTCGGGATAGTCAATGCTCCCCTATTGTTTCCAAATAGCATATTCAAACGTGTGCTTCAATTTCACTAGGGCAGTTGGCTTCTTAAAGAAAAGTTACAGAACACATTTTTGTAAGAAATGAAGGCCCCTGCTCTGTAATGGACAACACCCGCCAATAGTAAAATGGAAGGTTTGACTTTTGAGTCAATTGAAAAGAGTTAAAATCGACTAACTGGCCATTCAACACTTAACAATAGGGCACAAAAATTGCTGGTGAATTGCAGGGGGAGCCAGAAGCCAATTCAGGCGAAGGTATCTTGACGAGCCTAGATGAACCGAGAGCGCGACGGGACTCTGCGAGCAGAGCCCTGGCTCATCCAGACACTTCTGTGCATTTACACGCAGTGTGCAGTGGGAGGAGAGGAAAGCGGTTTATACCTGATAAATGTTTTCTTCTGTTTCGGGATCACGGATTGGCTCATGTCCAGCCTCAAACACAATGTACTATATCGGGAGCAGCCAGAGAAGAAAGGTCAGAGGTGGAAAAGAAAGAGGGGAAAAAAAGCATTTGGAATTCAAGATACAAATCACAGTGAGCATTAAAGAAACAGGCACAAAAGAAAACACCTTCAAGGGACAAGTGAATTACTGAAACACCAAATGTTCTGTCTTTGCTAAGGAGAGCTGCAAAGGTGGGATAGGTCAGTCTGCGTAGCACCCCTGCCAGTCTTTCTGGACCTATAACCTCTCTTCTGATTTCATCTCAGTGAAGTGCTGTGTGACGCCATGGTGAATTTTAGGTGAAAGTGCTCATTTCCATGTGTTCCTTAAGGTCCAGGTCCCAAGCCAACTCTGAAGTGCAAGGAGACTCAAAGTCCATCATCCTCAAAATGCTCCTGATTGTACGTTCTCCGTTTTAAATACTGAAGATCCATTTTTCCATGTGCATGTTTCAGACTCTAAAGGACTGGCCCATTGTAAGAAGAGCCAGATACTTCATTCTCTGCAGGCCAGGGAGGCAGGGGCTAAGGTTCTATGAACAAATCCTGGCCTTCACATTCTAAGGCAAGGGCAGGCCATGATATGCACCTTTGACTTTTGTTTGCTGTACATGCTAGCTACTTCTATTTCAAGTTATTGATATTGTATTACTACGTTTTAATCCAAGATATTTTACTTTCATAAATGCAGGCCAGCTTTCTGTGTGAACACCTGAATTTCCAGATAATATGCATGTGACACACACATACATAATCCATATGTGTTCATGTGGAAATGCATATGTCTGGTTTTCTTTCATGTCCTACAAGTCAATGTTTGGCTTCTTATTCCCATTGGGAATATGTACATGGGGCCAGAGGCCTCCTCTTGCCATTTTGCTGCACCTGTTTGAACAGAGCCCAGACTTGAACCCAAGAGATATGATCTCTCTACCCACCCATGGGCTGCAACCTTGAAGACAGAGAAAGCTACAGGCTAGGATGTCTCCAGGTTCTCCCTGTCCCTCCCCACCACAGCCTGTGGCTCATGCAAGGGTCAGCTGGACCGATCGGTGGCTAGAGGGACTCCTCATAGCCTCTCTAAACATATAAACTGTCCTTGGCGTTTGCGCTCAAACGTCACCAGAATGCCAGTCCCCATCCCTGGTTCTTAACTCAGAAAAGCCACCTCATTATTCACAGTCTCTCTAATGAACTCAGAATATTCAAGAGATTTGAACACATTCAAGTCTGGGATCAAACTTTTACAGATTGTAGAGGGGGCTGAGGCAGGGGAAAGATGGAGAGAAGCACATCTCTAAACCCCATGTTACTGACGCCAGCCAAACTTCTGTTCATTTTTATGGAAATTTACTCCTGGAGGGGCTGGCAGTGCTCACCCTCACAAATCATCTTGGCCCCTTTCCAGGCTATGAAGCCAGTGGATTCTTTAGGTCTCTGACAAAATAGCTACACCACAGGCCTCACCATTCCTGAACCTAAATCCCCAAGTCAATTTAGAAATTACCTGATAGACAGGATCTTCAACATCCTCTTCCAGAATTGTCTACAGCAGAGTGAGGGAAGGGAAGTTGAAAAGCAGAAGACATAAAGGAAGAGATGTGAGACTTATTCAGAAGTTATAGGACAGTAAAGAAATTGGCTCTGGGAAGGATGGGCTAGAGGATTATCATGGCAGGAAACACACAGGAAAAAATCAAAACCTTGTAGCCGTCCCCACCCCTATTGTCAACCTTAGAAAAAGCAATTGTGGTTCTTTGGTTCATCTCCCCTGAAATCTTCCTCTGGATTCAAGTTTTCACTTTCTCCAGCAAGTTCACAATCTCAGAGACTAAGGGATCATTTCTAATGGGGGTGCTCTCCATGCCTGTGATTTATTTACACAGAACCTTTTGTCTTTATTTCTACTCGGCTGCAGACAGAGAAGCCCTGACTGTCAATTGCACATCTGTTTATTTTAAGCCCCAATCTTCTCCAGTGCCAGGATGAAGTCACAGGTGTACCTGATACACGGCTTGTTCACACTGCTTATCCTTTTGTGCCTTTTTTTCCAATTCTTCTCTTTGCTTCAATTCATAAATAAGCTGAAAGAGATCTCTCAAGTCCAGAATAACAGGTTCAGCCTGGAGTAAAAGGTGGTAAAGCACATTAATAAGAGAATGGTACTGAGCCACTTAGAGCAATTTTTGTTTTTGTTGGCTATAACCCACAGTCCTTCCGGTTTCTATTAAACTGAAAGCATTCCATCTTTAATTAATTCTACCTTGTTTATATTGGTTTAGCAAATTGCATCTGGGCTAAAGTTCATTTCTTCAACTAATTATATTTGCAAATTCATAATAATCATAAGCATAAAAGACATTGCTTTTATTTATTAGTAATTTCAAATACAATGAAATTAGGGTAGGCCTAATGCAAAACAGCTATTTGTTTTCTCTTATTTTCTTTTTAAATGAGGCTATGCACACAAGAAAACTTATTTGTATACTGTGCCTCCATCCAGTTTAATCAGGAAGGAAAATAATTAGTCATTACGAAATATCCATTAGAAAAAACAACAACAACAGACTGGATGGGTTTGAACATGTCTCCTCACTCCAAGGCTGTTTATCTTCTCAAGACTGCAACCTGAGCTGCAGCATCCCCCAGCCATCCATCACGGTGTGACCAGCAGTGCCACGGTGTGACCCCAATGGTTACAAGGCAGGGTGCTACTCTGGTTGGGGACACTTACCGCCTGGGCTGTCTTGATAGCCACAAATCTGTGATTCCCTTCCTTGCCGCAAACGTATCCAAAGGCCCGGTGATCTGTGATATCCTTTGCAATGTAGGAGATTTCATGAACAGCATGATGATGCTGAAGAGCCTATTGGAGACAAAAAGGAGAACATATTTCAGGGGACGTTTCCTTCGAGCTGTTGATCAATAAGAGATGTGTTTCAGCTACGTGTGAACAGGCCCGAAGGGCTTTGGAAAAGCTGTTTGGTCCAGATGGAAGGAAAAAGAGCTGTGCCTGCCCCTGAGAAATAGAGGCTTCTCTCCATGGTCTTAATGCCGTGACCAGAGAGATAAACAGGACTGTTCATATGCTGAATGAGTGTCTGTGGTGGTGGCTTCCTTCAGCTTGCCAGAGCTGGTTGGTCTGATTCAGCTGCGTAGGCTTCTGCTAAATCTTTCTTCTTGACACCACTCAGTCTAAGTTGGACTTGAACACACTTACAAACCAGGGTCTCTGATTACCTTGGTGGGAGATAGACACGCACAACTCTTGGGGGCACCATTCATAATCAGAATCAGAGACTTGCATGATTATGAAAACATTCCAACATATGGTGATGCAGAGTCTGAAAGAACAAATGCTTTTTGCTATTTTGTCCAAAGTCACACAACTCTACACTGATTGCTCCCTATGTCTCCAATGTTTTCCATCCGCTTTCCCTATTCTCATTCCTCTTGCAAAGGCTAATTCAAATAGCATCACCTCTGTGAAACAGTCTCTGAACAAGGCATGCCTTTCCTCTCCCCTGAAGATATAATTTCTCCCTCTCTTGTGTTTCCATAGAACTTTAGCTTCTGGTAGTGGTGCTGAAACACTTGATGGATTCCCCACCCACAGCTTTCTGCTTTCACAGACCTCCCTTCTCTGAGGCTTCTTGCCTGTCTTCTCCACCAAGCTCTGTGGTCCTCATCTCTGTCATCCTAGTCCCTGCCACTGTGCCTGGTCCATAGTTCATTGAATTAAAGTAAACTGGGATCGCTGATCAATAATTTCAAAAATCTGTTGAATTGACTGGTTTTATATTATCTCAGCTTCAACAAATAAACATTTTGTTAGGTGAGGGTCATTTTTCTGTATGTATGTAATGTGACCTTCATATAACAGTACTCTGTAAAAGCATATTAATACTTGAGAATTATAGGAGATGCTTAAAGTTCTTATAAAGGGTGTTCTCATTAAACTGAGTGTTAAGAGGCTTAAATTTTAGTCAGGATGTGAACACAAGGCACTCACTGTATCTCTCAGGACATCAGTTTATTCCTATATCAAGTGAGATGTTTGCACCTGATCAATGGTTTCTAATCCCAAGCTGGCTCTACTAGTGCTGTTAAAGGTAGTAAAAAGAGGTCTTTAGCAATTTCCAACATTTCAAAAAGCTAAACAGAAATTTATAATTATTCCCTAAAGAGATGACCTATTTCATTGAGCATGTAATAGAAAACACCAACTTTGACTGAAATTGTACCAAGTTATTGTTATACCCTTATGAGTTATAGGTTCAAATATTCCAAATAGAAGGTGAATGATTACAAATGCATTTTATTTTATTTTATTTTATTTTATTTTATTTTTGGTGGACAGAAACTTTTCCCATTAACAAGTCCAAGGAAAGAGGGAGAAATGTCACACAGGGGATCATACTTATGAAAATGCTGGCAAACAGTGGAGGAGGTATTCTCTAAGGTCCTGTCCCATATCCCCAGATTCTTTAGCCATCAGGACCTCACAGTACACAGCCAGCCTCCGAGGGCAGCAACATCTGGTGCTCCTGGTCATCACCTTAGTTCTGGAGTACTGGCCCACACCTTCAACACTTCGTCTGGATTTTGACCTTATAAATTATTTCTGCAGTGGAAATTAGTGGCTCATATTAATTTCCCAGAGTCTAATACTTTGCTACCCAAGCTGCTAATTGTGCTTCCTGCCCTTTCCTGGTTGCCCACTGCCAACTGGACATCATGCTGTCACTGCCCAGCCATCCTACCCTCTCAAGCGGCCAGAAGACAACTGTACATCATTCTAGTAGGTCGACACCAAGATGGTGAGGAATGAAGCATCTGTTAGTAAAATAATCAGGATCCACTTATTTTATTAAGGGGACAAATTTAGCTAACAGAGGAAAACTGCTCAAAGAGCAGTAGCATTTTTGTGGTGTTAATGATGTAAAATTGATGAGAGTTATATTCACACAACATGGGGGGATTGATTTATAGGCTTTTGTGAGCTAGATGCTGTGCAGCTGGGGAAGGTGGAAGACAAAGACATTCTCCTTTGCTCTTCCCCAAAAGTATTTCTCTCTGCATAACGTGGAAAATGTTATCCACGTCTCCTATTAAATCCAAGTTTGACGACATCACCTTATTGATTGCCGAGTGGAATATTGCTGGGAAATTAAACTGCGATTAGAAGTCTTCCTGGTGGAATTAGATTTGGAGATGATTGTGCAATGGTAAAATATCACCAACTATGCAAGACAGCAGATGGAGATGTTTTAATTTATCCTGGAATCCTCATTAAGTCTTTTAAAATCAAAACATTTTTAACGCCTGATGATACCTAATATTGCCTCACAAAGTGTAGCTGTGTGTGCGCGCGTGAAGTGTTTAAAGATATTTATAACATTATCTTTTCCCACAGTTAATTTTATGACATGTTTTAAAAAGCATTGCTGAGAGGGGCTTAATTCATTTGGAAACTAAGCATCAGTAAGGGGACATGCCTCCATTCTGTCCAACCTTAACCTTGCACACACAACACAGAGAGTTGGAGATACAAATACATTAGGATCCTGCTAATCCCACTGTTCTGTTATCATATTCATCTTAGTAAGTCAGAGGATCTTGAAAATAGTTCATGAGCCTCAAAATTGTTCCAGGTCTTCCACAAGATTTTACCAGCACAAGCAAAGATAGTAAGAGCCAGAAGAATCTTAAACATCCTGTAGTTCAACCCTGAGTTCATTCCTGAAAGGGTTGATGAGGGTCAGAGAGCTCTGGCAGAACCAACACTTAATCCCGACTTCATTCTCCCTACTCAGTATGACAAAACATTGAAAAGAAGAAACAAGATCATGTAGAATCAAGGACTCATTTCCTTAGACACCTGGCTCCTGATTCCAGCAACAAAACCAAGACCCCTTGACAAGCTGGGATGAAGAAGACAAGAGGACAGAACTTAGCACCAAGGCAGACATGAGCTGTTCTGGATGCTGGCAGGTACCTGGAGGTGGCAAAGAATACTGGGAAGGATGGGGGGAGAGAGGCTGAAGGAAAGGTGATTCGGGTTGCCCTACATCGATATTTCCTTTGGAAAACAGTTTTTGACTTGGAAAAATCTTACTCTCTATATTAAAACTCCCTTTTTCTCTTCCTAACTCCCATTCTGAACTCCCAACTCCATTCTTTTTTACACTGCGGATGAAAGTTGTCATTGAAGAATTTCAAGGAGAATCCGGGTATCAGCCCCTTCCATCCAGTCTGATCTTCCTTCCATAGGTGAACTTCAGATACTCTAGGCTATATACAATCTGCAGCCTTCCCCATGTGGATCCTGCATTTTCCATCTCTGTGCCATTGCTCATTTTCTCTGCTGCTACTTCGTCCCATGATCTATGTTTCATCAACTCCACCATCACTCATACCTTTGCTCCAACATCATCATGCTCACCCAGTGAAACTCCCCTGACTTCTCCATTTCCCTTACTAATACTCCCTGCTGGTGGCTCTCCATGCTCACCCATCTAGGGTGCTTTGCACTTAGTTCTGTTTAAAACTTCACTCAATAAGTAACAATACATGTAGTTATTGAGTGCCTGTCTCATGTATCTATCCAGATGACTAAAATGTAGCCCATTCCTCAGGACCTGCCATCTCATAAAATACAGGCAAAGAAACTAACCACAAAATATAATAGGACAAGGTTTAGAGTCAATTTCACATATGCATAGAGTGTAACATAGGCTCAGAGTAGGAATGGAGAAGGACATTAGGGAAGATTTGGGAAAGGCAGTGACTTTGAACTGAGTCTCAAAGGGCAGTGGGGAAGGCCCTAGAAAGTCAGAGGGAAAGGACAGTGTAGGCAGAAAGAACTGGGCACGCAAAAGCTTCTAGGGCCTGAGAACAGGCGCTTGGGTACCAGTTACACATGTGTGTCCTCCCCACTCTGGAATGTTAGCTCCTTGAGAGAAAGATCCATACCTGGCTCTCCTCAGTCTTACCCCTGTTCCTTTTGAACAATAAGTGATAAAAATTACTTGAGGAATTAAAGAGGGATGACTAAACTCTCCGAATGACTCCTATCTGTGCTAGGTAGTTGCTCAATAAATGCTCAATGATTGAATCAAGTTAATTCACTACATTTCACATTGGATTCATTCTGTGAACACAGGGTTTCTTATCTGATCATCATTAAATCTTTTTGCCTTGCATTTCCATGAGCCATTTACCAATGTAAATGAAGTATCAAATAGTTTGGAGGGTTACCATTTGACAGAATAAATTACAGAGAAGACTTAATTTGTAGTATGGTTCAATACAGCCAATTAAATACAGTATGGATTAGAAAGTCATTTGCTGCAGACTTTACCATTAGCTTTTTTTTTAAAGAATAAATTCTACCCTATTTTGCTGTCATATTATTATACTGTGTGTGTATGTGTGTGTGAGGGTGTGTGCTTTCCCAAGGCAATACTATTCACAGGAAAAATACCCACCAGTATTCAAGCGACTTAAGAAAAAAAAAATAAAACAAAACAAAAAAAGCAGATAAGCAGATAGACACAGAATAAAAATAGATACATGAAAAATACACTATTTCACACTACAAGCAATTACAGTAGTTAAAACCTCACAAGACAAAGGGAGGCCCAGGCTCATTATAAAGGCCTTTCTCTTTCTAACATATTTTTGGATGCGTTTGCTGCATCACAGTGCCAGCAAGGCTGGGAGGCAACCTCTGTCCCAGTCCCCAGACACCCCATCATCAAATATAAAGTGGAGCAGGTCAGAGTACATTCTTTCCTGAGTTCTCATCTTGATATTTTCTAGAAGGTTTGACTCAAGGATGAGACAAAATGTCCAAACATCCTC